GCTAAGACAGACAGTTCCCAGGAGGGATGGCACTAAACTGGCACTAGTGATTGTTGCAACACACACACACACACACACACACACACACACACACACACACACACACACACACACACTCATGCTCTTAGTTAGTATGGGGGTTTGAAAGGAGAACTCTGACCACTTCGAATCTTACACCAAAGTGGCTAGGACCCTGCCTGTAAATCCCTCCAGCCAATCCCTGTACCCTCAAGTTACACCACTCCTGTAAAACTCCAAAGACCTCCCACCAACTTCCAGAAGGCCCTGCTCATCTTGAACACTCTCTTCCTCGCCCTTCCTCTGACCTTTAATTGATCCCAAACATCAGGCCTAGCTCCATCACATGTGGGAGAAGAGCCAGACCAGTCCCTGTTCTTTATTGGACAAAATCCCTCAGGAGGTAAGGAAAACTGCCTTACACAGTATTCTAAACTCTGGCTTGTCTACATTGCAATGTCCTGGCCACCAGTAGAGGGCTCTGTCAACTGCTGTATGCTCTGGTCAGCATATAGGGAGGTATGTCTACATTGCAATGTCCTGGCCACCCCAGGTGTAGAGGGCTCTGTCAACTGCTGTATGCTCTGGTCAGCATATAGGGAGGTTCCATTCCAGGAACCCTGAGGCTCAGAGAGGTAAAGTGAGGCCCTCAGCTACCAAAGGAAATGATCATGGAGACGCTACTTGAGCTCATGAGCATCCTATATCCCTCTACACGCCCCCCACACACAACCCTTCACCATTCAGACTGCCTTCTCCACCCCAGATGTTCTAGCCTACTCTCTTCCAAGTCTTGTCTTCCTGCTATAGCCTAAAGCACTGAGGTACGAGGTGCAGTATAAGTTCAATCTATGTGACCAAGTCCAGTGTCTCCTGTAGCAGTCTAGAAAAGAGCCTGTCCCTTTCAGTGGGTCTCTGGCCTATCTGCTCTAGCACCCACTAAAACTAGGAAAATGAAGAGCTTCTCCAGAGCCTAAGTGCCTACCTAGGTCTTAGTGAATCCACACCTGTTACTGGGGTCAGGGTCACTTTTTTTCTTTTTTCTTTTTGGTTTTTCAAGACAGGGTTTCTCTGTGGCTTTGGAGGCTGTCCTGGAACTAGCTTTGTAGACCAGGCTGGTCTCGAACTCACAGAGATCCACCTGCTTCTGCCTCCTGAGTGCTGGGATTAAAGGCGTGCGCCACCACCGCCCAGCCAGGGTCACATTTTTTGCTGGCATCCATGGTGCTACATTCTACATACCTGCCACTCCATTCTCAACTTGTGCTATCTCCAAGTGCTGTTTCCCATAGCCTCTCCCATGCCTCACAGTTCCCTGACCAAGTCAGAGCTGTGTTCCTCGATGGCATCGCTAATGTCATATTTCTGCTCTCAGCTGCCACATGGAGTTGCAGCCCTGCCCCCCCCCAGGGGTGGGGGTGGGGAGTGTCTCATGTCAGCAGTGGTGACAAAGCTCTCAGAAGAGAGAAGCTTCCACTGCTGTTGTGGGGACATGGAACCTCTACTGAGACCATGATGTAACAAATACTTGTTGGTAGTAGCCTCTCCTACTCTGCCAACCACAGGCTCCCCAAGATCTTGGGCTGTCAATGAATAAAAAGGTTCAAAGACCTCCTGATGCTCACTCATCCCACAGGAGTGGTGAGTGATGGCTCCACAACCCCCCTCCAGGTCCTCCTCAACTCTTTACAGCCCACATGGAAGTCCCCCAGAGCCCTAAGTTTAGGAACTCATAAAGCTCCTGGCAGGGGGGAGGGGCTATGGAGCATCTGGCCAGATTCAAGGAATTCTCTAATATTCAAATAATGTGGCAGGACCTGGGCTTAAGGAGTTAAATGATGGCATCAAGACTGGGCTGGCCCTATAGAACAATCGATTGCCACTGGGTTTGGTCACCCAAGAACAGGGCTACTGACAGCTGAATGTGTCCTCCCACTTTTTTATATCACTCCTCCCTTATTCTAGGAGAGAATCCTGAGGCCCTGTTGTTAAGGGTGTCAATAGTTTCTTTCACCATCAGATGTTATGGGAAACTGAGTTGATCACAGCTCTGACCCAAGTACCCTCTACCTCCTGTTGTCCCTGCAGCCAGTACGGACCTTTACAACACACACACACTGCAGCCTCCCTCAGGTCAGGGTCTGAGGTTTTCTGAACACCTTAGTTTCAGTCAAACAATAGTGGAACTTCCTACATACCAACCCACTCTAATCCTTCCCCATTTAAGAAGGGGCCAGAATAGTCAGTGCCTGGTCTTCAGAAAAACATCCCAATTTATAGAGCTTCTTGGGAAGATGAGATAGGTAAGGGGTGAGTGTCTACGCTCTCTCCCCAATTCAGCTGCTTCCCATGGGGGCTAGTTGCTGCCTAAGGGGCAGTTCCTGAGATGTGAGTCCATCCCAGTAGAGGAAGACCTAGAGGCTGAGGTACAACATGGTCAGCTGGAACATACCTCAGTAGCTAGGGATAGTCATTACCCACCTGCCCCTCAAGGTCTCTGGACAGCTGTCTGGAGCCTGAAGTTGGGGGAGGGGTTGTCCAGTTGTAAAAAGGAAGAGACATCTCACTTGGCACAATACAGGCCCTTCTGTCAAGCTGGGGCATGTCTCACACTGAATAAAGAGGAGGTTCTCTCTCAGCAACTTGAAGGGTGGAGGCTGGGTAGGAGCCACTAGCTGTGGCCGGAAGCATTTCTGAGAACTGAGATGGCTCTGAGCCTTTATCTGAGACTGAAGAAAACTTAATGAAATCAAGGCGAAGGTGTGTGTGTGTGTGTGTGTGTGTGTGTGTGTGTGTGTGTGCGTGCGTGCTGTGGTTTTCCGGAAGAAATGGAGAGCAGATACTATGGGGTAGGGGTTTCTGGGAATTGCAGTGAAATCTTCCTCCTGCTAGTCTAGGCCAAATAGAAACACACTTAGTTGTTGTGGCTACCAGACACTTCAGGTGGGCAAATGCCAGCTCTACTTCAGAAGGCAGGGTCTGGAGTGGTCTCTGCTAGGGTGCAGGAGGCCTCTGCAGCAAAGCCTATTTCAGCAGGTCCTCCTCTGCACATTTCTAGCACCCCTTGATTTCACACTGGCCTGCTTGCAGTCATGGGCACTGTCCCTACTTGACTACAAGCTCTCAGTCTTTGGGACCTGAACAAACTCTGCATAGCTCACAGTTCCCAGTGGAAATCCCCAGATCTAATAGGCTGGCACAGCTCACCTTATGCCCCTGAGGTAGACATGAGTGGAATTGGGGTGTTGCTGGCTGTGGGGCAAGGGTACAGTGTGGACTACAACATCCCTTACCCCACCCTGCAGAATCTCCCACCATCTCTGTATCACACCCATCAGTCACCCACAGGAGTTTCCAGCAGATAAGGCCTGTGGGTATCTGCACACGTCATGCTATTTGGGGATGTCCCAACCTGTGGCAGTTCCAGTGGAAGGCAGGACTGCCTATGGCTCAGAACCTAGGGGTGTGGTTTGATAAGCAAGCTGGGAGATGCCCCCAGACCTCACCTCCCTTTCCAAACAGACTCTGGACTTTGCAGCTTGTGCCTGACTCCTCACCCACCCAATAGGTGACAAAAGAGGCAGCTCCAGGCAGTGAGGGTGCTGGTACATCCCCAAGGGACTTCATGTGGCCCTGAGCTCTTTGAGTCTTATCCTAATGACCTCCACTTCCATGGCAATTTTTCTATCTCCACCTTCAGTCTCTCCCAGGAGCCTGTGTATTGATGGGACTGCTAGCACCAGAAGAGGCAGATTTATCCCCCAATCCCATTTACCTGCTATGAGATAATGATAAGACAGGAGGCACTAAGGGGAGGATGATCTGAGCAAGTAAGTGCCCAGATGTGCAGATGCCTTATGGGTGCTCAGGTCTGCCACTCCCTGGACGTCCATGCCAAGATGACCATATTGAATTCTTTTTTTATGATAAGGTCTCACTATATAGCTCTGGCTGTGCTGGAACTCACTCTGTAGACCAGGCTGGCCTCAAACTCCCTAGATCTACCCACCTCTGCCTCCTGAGTGCTGGGATTAAAGGCATGTGCCACTGCACCCTGCTCTTGTTGAATCTTTCTATGAGCAGCCTCTACAACTTCCAACAAGCAGGAAAGAGAATTTGCTGGGAGTGCCTCAGAGCCAAAACTATATTTCAGAGGATTTGTCTCATGCTGGAAAGTGCTCAGTATGGAAACTGACAAAAAGCCAGTTTAAGCAGTTAGGCCAAGGCAAATGTCCTAAAGTGCCATCAAAACTTCACAGGCATCCTGAAGGGCTTTCAAAGGGCAGTAGCCCAAAAACTACAGCTCATACATGACTGCCTAATATGGACCAGGCTGAGGGGAGGGGAAGTGGGTTGGACAAGAATTCAAGAGAGGGACTAGAGAGCTGGCTCAGCACCTGCTGCTCTCTCAGAAGACCTGGGTTCAGGTCCCAGCACCTACATGGTGGCTCACAACTACCCATGACTCCTGCTCCAGAGAGTTGCACATGATGCACAGAAACTTACAAAGATGAAGCAAAGAAGGCAGGTATTCAGTATAGATTACCACCTTCCAAGAGCCACCTCCTTAGTCTGATAGTCCCTACTCAGGGTCAGTGACTAAGATTAACCTTAGCTTGTGCCCCCACCACTACCACCAAGAGAGAGTGCTGAGAAAAGGCCTTGGATGTCCCTTCCCTTTAAAATTATTCAAGTTTTTATTACATTTATTCATGCATTCACATGTGCTTGTGTGTACATGCACAGGTCTGTGCCATAGCATACATGTGGAAGTCAGAGGACAACTTGTCAGGATTAACAGATTCTCCTATCTTGTAGTTCCCAGGGATCAAATTCAGGTCATCAGGCTAAGATATTTCACCAGACTGCCCTCTCGGTTTTATACCCTGGGAATGACCATAGGCATAGGATGACAAAGGGTGTCCTTAAATGCAGGCGTGGGTACCTTGCTTTCCTCTGTCCCTAGAACACAACCACTCAGGTTACTAGACAAGTATTTATTGAAAGCCACTTGTACAAGGTCTTGTGCTGAACACTTAGTGCTCTCTGAGAGCTTAAAGACCCTACTCCAACAGAGCTGGCAAAAGAGGGAGGCAGCCATAGGGCCCAATTATAGTCACTACTCTTTTTACACCCAGTTGTAATTTATCACCATCAATCAACATCTTACACCCACTTCCGCCATTGAGGGGAGCAGGGCCAGGCCCAGGGAAAGATGCACAGTAGAGCCCTTGCTCTCACCAAGGGTTGGTCTGGGCAAGTCTTAGAGGGTCTGGCTTGGGGTCCAGAGGAAGAACAACCCTCATGGCCACCGGTCTCCCAGATGACTCTTATCCTCCATTTGCTCCCCACGCTCCTCCTCAGGGAACTGGAAGCTGCAAGCATCATCAGCTGGTGGTAGCTGCACCTCCAAGAGTGGCTGGGTCTCTGTAGTAAAAATATGGTTAGCAAGTAGCCTGAGACACATTTTCCCCTTCCCATGGACACAACTGACCTCGGGGGCACATGTGTTCCCTCCTCAGCTGCCATATGTGCAGGCAGAGCTGGGCTGTGGTTAGGAAGAGAATGCACACAGCTATGGCCAGGAAGATGACATTCAAATGGCCATGTTGCTCAGTGGGTAGTGGCTCCGGGATGCACACAGCATTGTGAGTCTTGTTCCCAGGGAATATGGTGAGAAATCCAAACTGGGCACAGCTGGGACACAGACACAGACACTGTCAGGCTTGGTTACCCAAGCAGCCACACTAGGACTGTTATCCTCTAAGCCATTTGGGAGATAAATGGGGGCCCTCAGGGGTTACTACAAGGGAGGGACAGGATAGGCTTCCTAAGAATGGGCCTAGCCTACTCATCTAGGACTTACTCGGCCCAAGGTCTGCAGTGGCCCTCACGACCTGCGGAGAAGGTGCCCATGGCACAGTCAACACACTCGAAGCCAAACTTAATATTCCCTGTGGATAGACAGACAGACTATAGGGGCTACTGAGATTAAAGAGGAAGGAGTCAGACTAGGGTCTATCAATCCACCAGTTCTAATGTCCACAGTACTAGGGCCTGGATAGGCAGTACTATGTATGTCTATTCCAGAACTAAAATGACACATCGGTCCCTCTTGAATATGGATAGGATTGGCGGCAAGGCCTGGCCTTGGTCAGAATAATGATCTGAGATCAGACCAGCACCTGGGCAGTCCCCACAGCCTCTCACAGCCAGCTGTGACATCAGCACCCTCATTATGATGGAGGTCCCCAGGCCAATAGGAAGAATGGCTCAGGACCACTTGGCCCACCTATCCCTTCTAGAATCTAGAATGCAAGTCCCTGCTTACCCAGAGGATATGACCATGAGCCCTATATGTGCAAGATTCTTACATGCCTACACTTGCTCACTAGGCATCTATACCAGCTTGATTCTAGGTTAAATTCATGATTTGCTTGGGGACATCTGTGGCCTTCTGCAGTCTCCCAGGGACATACCATGAGGCTGCACCTTCTGGCCTGGTTGGCAAGGGTGGTGCTTGCAGGCCTTGCACTGAGGGTCTTCACAGTGGTACTCCGGCATGACACATATGCAGTCTCCTTCAGGACAGGCCTCCTCGTCTTGGCAAGAATAAGAGCCTCAGCAATTAGGCAGAGCTCCCTTCCCCTCTTCAGAGTTCCTACTGGTCCTTCAAGTGGTTAAGGTGCTAGGCCTCCATCCTCAATCAATCCCAGTGCAAGGCCCTAGGCTTTTTCCAGCTCAGGGTTCCATCTCAGATGTTTTACTGCTGATGTACACACTTCCTGATGCTCTGAAGAATGGCTTCATAAGTTCTATTAGATATGGGAGTCACCTGGGGCTTCCTAAGGTCCCTGGGCCCATGTTGCCTCATCCCTACCCTATATTGTCCCTCAGAGCAATAGGAACACCTCAGCAACTGCCTTCACTGCTGTCCACATCTCTATCACAGAGACATGGGCCCTCAGAGCTGCCCTGTCTATACCAGGCGTGGCAGATGAAGTGCTGAGATATTTTTCTTGGATGGGTCCTCAAACTGCCCTACACCTAAAACTATAAGTCACAGACAGTAAATATGGCAGAGGAGAGTGTTGGGACACCAACCCAGACAGAGAATAGCTTCAGTGATAGCTAAGGTTTGACCCACCCAGAAGACCCTAAGACCTTGGACCCCAGATCACTCTTAAGGGAGAAGTTTCCAGCCCCTGTTGCCTATGCTCCCATACTTCTGATCTTGAACAACTGGTTCAGATGGACCTCTACCTCCTTCTCAGTTCCAGACTCAAGGCTCTAGACACAGAATGTTTGCTTACCCACTCATGTGTGCCCTGTGCCCACCCTGCTTGTGTGAGTGCTGCACTTACTAGCTCCCACTCCCCTCCTTGTCTTACCTGGAGTACACAGCCTGCAGCAGCGTGTGTTAGTGCCAGTCCCACGCTGGAAGCTGCTGGGGCCACAGCTAGATTCCTCAACCAGGCTCTGCTGACCTAGGTCCAGCAAACAAACCAGTGAGACCCCACACAGCATGGCCCATGCTCCCATAGTGCTTCTCCTGAGTCTTCTTCCTGTTGGCTGATTTTTAGCAGTCCCCAACCTGCTCCAGCGTGCCTTGTCCCCGCCCCTGCCTCTGCCTCTACCCCTCACATTGGGCTCCAGGCCAGCTCCACCTCCATCTTCCGGCAGGCATGTGGTGCTTGTAATGGCCTTCTGTAAAGCTATATCATCTTTCTTGACATCTCCTGAACCCCAACAATCCCCTTCCAACTCCAGCATACCCACCCTGGCTACGCTTCAGAGGAAAAGGATCCCCATTCACACATGTTACTGCCACCACTGCCTGTGGGTACCCTTTATTGTTGCATAAAACTCCCCCTTTCCTCTTCCTAAGCCCAGGAAGCTTCTCTGGGCTTGGGAAATGAGGAGATCCTGTGAGGGGAGTCCAGAGCATATACCATTGCCTTTCAGAGAAGGTAGTCATAAACTAGGAATTTCTAGCAGGCACATGAAGCCAAGGGCAGTATGGCCTGCCCAGATCCAGCCCAGGCAGTTCTAGTTTGGATCTCTTGGCTCTCTCTGGAGCCACTTTTGTTCACCTCCTCACACAATTCTAGACAATGGAAAGGGAGTTCCCAATGGAGCCCTTCGCCTCCTCCTCGTGATGAGACTATCCTGTCACTAGCAAGTTCTGGAACTCTACCTCTATAAGGAAGCCTCTCTGGTTTTTTGTTTGTTTGTTTGTTTTGTTTTGTTTTGTTTGTTTGTTTGTTTGTTTTTGATACAGGGTTTCTCTGTGTAGCTTTGGAGCCTGTCCTGGAACTAGCTTTTGAAAACCAGGTTGGTCTCGAACTCACAGAAATAGGCCTGCCTCTGTCTCCCAAGTTCTGGGATTAAAGGTGGTGCTGGGTGGTATGTGCCACTACTGCCTAGCCCCTCTCTGGATTTTTGAGCCTTACTTTCCCTATATCTTCCAGCTGAAGTTAAGCACAGGGAAACAGGGCGAGGACTTTTGGGAGTATTGGGGATGAGCATGGGCCTCTCAGGATATACAATGATTGTACCCATAAGTGAGAGGTGTGGGGCCTTTTGTGATGTGGAAAACCTAGGAATCTAGCCTGACTTTTAAGTTGTCATTGGAGGAGGCTGGGGAAGTAGAAAATGTAAGAAATTAGCAGCTGTGCAACTCCTGCTGTTCTCTGGCTTCAGGTATGTAAGTCTCCTGAGAGACAGCCCTGGTCATTGAAGAGTAGGGAGGGGGTTCTCAGTTCTCCACTCTAGGCTAACCTCAGCAGAACCTCTTCTTTGAGAAACAAACAGCTCCTGGACAAGGAGGTGGATCTGAGTACAAGGGCAAAAATGAAACCATGTACCTGACTTCACATAAAGGTGTTGAGGGAGGTATTGGCTATGGTCCTAACCATTTAAAAAAAAAAATAAGGGGTGCTCACTTCGGTAGCACATATACAAAAATTGGAACAATGCAAAGATTAACACAGCCTCTGTGCAAGGATGACACAAAAATTTGTAAAGCATTCCATATTTGGGGCTGGACATAGCAGTGCACACCTTTATTCAAAGGAAGAGGTAGGTGGATCTACAAGTTCGAGACCAGTCTTGTCTACAGAATAAGTTCCAGGACAACCAGACTTATGGAGAGAGATCATGTCTCAAACGAACAAACAAACAAACAAACAAAAATCTAAGAGGTCAGCCAGGACCATGCCTTCATGGTATCACCCCAACCCTGGTAAGTGCACGGTATACACATGGTATTTATTGCCAGCCATGATATCCTCACATTGGGGATCCCTGTTTTCTAGGGAATGGCCTCTTCCACAGGGGACAGCTAACAAAGCATTGACTCACCCCCTAAAACACTACCATGTACCTTGTGGGGGAGGGCATGGGAATTTTGGCCTTGGTGTTGTGTCTGAGTTCAGCCAAGGGCAAGGTCTGCTTGATATAGACTTGCAAGGCTACAAACTGTTAGTGAGCTCCATAGAGGTTCTTTCCAGGAGACACAGTGCTCTTCTGCCAACCACATACAGACCACAAAGATCAAAAGACACAGGTCATATACCTGGGGAGATTTTTTTCAAGTAGATGACATCAGTAAATGTCAGCACCTATGTCAGATTTCCTGTCCTACCCACTTCCAGGTACCAACTGCAAGGGACTCCCAAGAATGAGCAGCTTCCATAACTTGGTGGTGGGCTGAGGTGATTTTAATCTGCTCCCTGATATCTCCTTTATTTTATGAGCAGCTCCTTGTATTTCCATGTGATTTGTTTTACAGGACTCAGTGAGTATGTTCCAGGCTGCAGAGAGTCCTGGAAGTTTGAACCTGTGGGGAATTCCTAGGCTGACATGGGGCCTCAGAAGAGGTACTTAGGGAGTTTTTGAGATGAGGGGGATAGAGAATGTACTTTGGGACAGCACCAGAATGAAGAGAAAGTAAACCCAATGTTTGTGCAGGTAAGGCCATGGGTATCTGGGAAGGGGTCCAAGGAGCCCCCAAATGAGCAGGAAACAGCAGGAAGACTAGAGCCCTGTGCCTAGTAAGGAGGAGGCATAAATATGACCTGCCTAGTGTGGGAATAAAACCTCTTTCCTACAATCTCTAACTTCCCAAGCCCCACAGCATTCTTCGTCCAACTCTCCCTAGCCTCCTATTGGCCTCTCTAGGCATGGACTTCCCTATGGGGTGGAGGCTGCCAATTGGTCTATGACTCCATACCCAGGCTTAAGGTGTGGTTGCACATAGGCACCCAATAAGGGACATTTAGTAGTTCAGTGGGTGTTTCCTTTGGTTGTGGGCAGCTGGATTTTGTCAGAGAATGAAAGGAAAGAGATGGGAGGGGAACCAGGATTAGAGAGAGTTTTGTCCAACCAGCCCATGTGGGTCACAGTGACTTGTGTTACAAGTAATAGGATGCCCCAGCATGCAAATTAAGATCATCATATCTGGCCTGGCGGTGGCGCACACCTTTAATCCAGCACTTGGGAGGCAGAAGCAGGCAAATCTTTGAGTTCAAGGCCAACCTGATCCACAGAGTGAGTTCCAAGACAGCCAGGCCTACAGAGAAACCCTGTCTCAGAAAAAAAAAAAAATCATATCTGGCCACAGGCAGACCAAGTAAAAGATGGGAGGGGTAATGAGGTGCTACTTTGCCAGGCCAGTGGCCTCAGGGTGACAAGAGGAAGGAAACAGCCATCTTTATGTTTCCTATGCCTCCTCAGTGCAGCTGACACAGCCCAGCACCACCCCCACACCAGAATGTCTAGTGACTCTTTTGTTGTTGTTGTTTTGTTTTGAGGGTTTTTTGTTGTTGTTTTTGTTTGTTTGTCTGTTTGTTTGTTTGAGACAGGGTCTTACTATGTAGCCCAGGCCAACCTGGAACCTGCTACTTGAATCAGGCTGGCCTCAAACTCACAGAGATCCACCTGCCTCTCTACCTTCTCAGTGTTGGAATTAAAGGTATATGCCACTAAGCTTGGCATCTAGTGAGTCTTAACATGCACCACAGGATACCAATCTGGGCTCTCTGTTTTCATTTGCAGGATCAGGCATAACTGCTTGACTATTTCCATGAGCAGCTTGGCAGCTAATTCATTGAGCTTCTGGGTACCTGTGCTTCCTGAGCAACTCTGCCGTCCCCAGATGCTGCTCTTACAACCCCTAGCAGCAGAGGGCAGCAGTAAGACCCTGGGTCCTCAAGATAACTCTAGGTTAGCTGCCTGAGCCACAGTGGTCAAAAGGGGCACAATAATTTACAAGTTCCTCTGGTGATCAGGATACTCGGGCTCTGCCTGCCAGAGCCCTTCCTTTTTGACTGAGACTCTTAGGTCCCCTTAGAGCAGTGGTCCTCAACCTGTGAGGACAATATGAGGAACTGTATTAAAGGGCTAAAGTATTAGGAAGGTTGAGAACCACTGCCTTAGAGCACAGACTGCTCATCAAGCTGCTGGTTGGCTTCCCTGGTACTATCTCCTCAGCATTTCAGGCCTGTACTCCATACCCTTATCAAACTGGAGTACATGTGACTAAGTGTAGGTCTCTGAGTGGACCTTCACCTTGACTTAAGACTCCCCCCCCCACCAGAAGATGATGCAACCACAGCCCCTTAGTGCCAGTGACAGACTCACAGTCGCTAGCATGTTTATTGGTGGTACCACCAGGCAGGTAGTATGCATAGCATACATAGGAGAGCCCAGAGCCAGCCCAGCATCTAAAACGGTGTGGAGGGTACTGGCAAGCACCAGGATATGGGTTACCCATGCTCCATAACACCCACTCCTGAGGTACTGTTCAGATCTTGGCCAGAGTAAAGTGTGTGTCAGCCTGTTCCTCCTGGATAGGGATCCTGAAGCTGTTTCTCCCTAGGAGGAGCAAAGAAAAAAACAGCAGTGAGGAGGTATAGCTCATCCCTCTAGGAAGTAAGCTTTATCAAGCCCACAGTGGGTACTCACAGTAGGGTTTGGGAGTATCAGGCAATCTCCAAGCTCTTCGGAGCAGGTACAAGGCCAGCAGAACAGTCAAGGGAGCCAGCAGGCCTAGGCCTAGGCCTAGGAAACCAGCAAATGCAGGGCCTATGAAGAGAGGCTAACTGAGTGAACACACTTACCCTCACCTTCTCTCCCCTATTTTCTACTGAGCCAGTATCCCTTACCCCTAGGAGCTACCAAGGTGGGTGTAGAAAGCAACTGAGAAGTCCTGGGCCAGACTGTGGTGGACTGGACAGTGGTCGGCCTGAATGTTGGGCCCTGGGTCTCCCAGAGCAGTGTGGCTGGGAGGCTTCTGTCCTCGCAGACTGCATCCAAGCTGGTACTGGCTGGGTGCCGGGTCTGCTTCCCAGATAAGGTGCAACTGTGGGATGAGGGTGTTCATTAGCTAGAGATAGTGGTGGAAGTTGCACTGAGTCATCTTCAACTCTGCCAAGACCTCTACCCCCAAGCCACATGCCTAGCTCTGTTACTGTTCGTCCCTGTCCTGCTCCTAGGTGGGGTTCTGCACTCTCAAAACGCACCCTATATACTTCTACAACCCTCTGGAGAAGAACCTGAGAGCAAAAATGTTCCTACAGCCTGGTCTAGAGTTTTACATGCCTCCACTGCACTTGCAGGGATCCCCACAAAAGCTGTGTTGAAGGGACGATGTCAGAAGATCCTCTGGCTCATGGAATTCTGTTCTCTGAACTGATACATCACATAATCATCTAGACACCAGCTCTTAAATGCCCAAACCTTTCTGGTTCCATCTCTTCCACACCCCCAGTTCTGGATGTTCCAGTCAGCCACAAAACTTACTTGGTCCAGGGCTTGCAGACCTGGTTGTTGCCTGGAGAAAAGTGGCCAGGAGGGCAGGGAACACAGTCTACAGCAAAGACATAAGTCAGCTTTCTGATGCTACTAGGTGGGCCCTGGGTGCTGAAGTTGCTGTTGGTGGGGCCTGAAGGGAGGGTTAATGCTCACTGTCTGGTGCAAGTGGATGGAAAGCTTGGCCTCTACAAGTTCCTCCTTCCCACATGCTGTCCCACTGGCACTGACCCAAGAATTGGTATGACCCACTAGAAGAGGAGCTTTTGGCCAAGACTAGATAGAGAGATCCTGGGGAGGTGACAATGTATGAAATGGGAACATGGCTCGTTTATACCATTATCATGGAGGGGGCCAGCACATGTGAATCCTAACCACCTCGCACACATTGGCCATGGATAGAGATGGACCTGCATGGCATAGGGCACCACCCTGAGGCTCACCAACTCCAAGCTTGTGGCTGCTGTCTTCCCGGGGCTGGGTGCCTGGTCTGCATTGGCAGACAGTATCCTGAGTAGGTGTGCAATTCTGCTTCAGCTCACTCCCACTTCCTAGGGAAAGTCAGGTAGAGACTGTGAATGAGGCTTACCCAGGACAAGAAGGCAAAATGGACTTGCCTCTCCTCAATGGCACAGGAACAAAGTTAAAGTGGAGGGAATTGTGCAGCCTGACTTTAGGCTTCTCCTCTCCTAAGACCTCTCCCTGGCTACTCTTTTCTTCCTAGTCATGAAGCCCTGGAGAAAGCTACTGAGCTGGCATAGGGCACTTGTGGCCTCCCTTTTCTATTCTCCCCCAACCCGTCTCTAGCCTCAGAATATCAGAACCCTCAGATACTCTCAACTTCCACACCATGACCTTACCTACTAGGACAGTGTGGGCAAAACCACATGGCCAACAAGAGCTCTACCCCAGTTCCATATGGCCCTGGCTGAGCCTTCACCCCAGAGGACAGAAGATCCCCCTGGGAAATGTCCTGGCTACTAAGACCCCCTTAGTGAACAGGATTCATCACGGCTTGGAATTACTTCTGCAATAATATGGGAAATATGGGCACCCATTGCTGTAGCTGCTTCCTTTCTGGGCTGGACAGTGAGTCAGGGTAGGAGGAGCTCACGTTGGTTGCACTGTGTACACTGCTTGCAGTTTTCATAATTGACTGCCTCATTGTAGAAGCCAGGTTCACATGGGTGGCATACAGTGTCCCTGGTGCCATCACAGCGCCTCACCATACCATTGCCTGTAGTGGAGCCCAGAAAGTTGAACAGGTCAGCCAAGGCCCAGGACTGTGGAGACGCAGCACCCTGGGTCCTAAAAGACCAGCATCTTGGTTGGCTCTGTCTCAGGCCTGGGGACATTGAGCATCACCTGGGACATTAGCTGAATTCATTTACTCCCAGAATGCTTGTACCTGTGTCTCCATCATTGTCCCCCAAGAATCATCCCTCCCCCACTCTGCCACTACAATTTAAAGCCGGGCCACTCACCTGGTTGGCACTCATTACAGCACTTGTGACCACTGGGGTAGGTATCATCAACACAGTTCCGCCTGGCTGCAGCTCCAAATGTGAGTCCCAGGAGCAGAAGTGCTGTGGGCTGCTGAACCCACACATACATCCTTGTCTGGGCTCTGCCTTCACAGGGGTCTGGGGTTTTTCCTTGCAGGATGTGGCTATAAGAGCTATGGGGGAGGGGCGAGAAGAGTAGGCGGAGAGGCAAGAAGATATGTGAGCATGTTTTATAACTGTGTTCCTGTATATATGGCACAGGCAGAGTCCCATAACAAGCTAGGAAGTGCTTGGGGCCACTAGGGCATGTGAAGGGAGGTGCAGATACCCAACATATGTATATGCAGACACATGCACACAGGCATTAACAAAAAGATTTTATTTTTAATTATATTTTTCTGTTGGAGGGGCATATGTATATAGTAAGTATAATACTCAAGGAGGTCAGAAGAGCTAGAGTTATAGGCAGTTGTGAGCCACCAAAGTGAGTCCTAGAAACTGTACTTAAGCCCTCTGCAGGAACACTGACTTTTACCACTGGGCATGATAGTACACTCCTTTAATCCCAGCATTTAGGAGCCAGAGGCAGGCAGCTCTGCCTAATTTACATAGTAAGTTTCAGGACAGTCAGGACTACGTAATAGAGACCTTATCTCAAAAACAAAAACACCCAAAAAGCTTAACTACTGAGTCATCTCTCCAATGTGAACAGACTTTTTTCTTCCCACCTCCTTCCCCCTTTTTGTAGTTCTGAGAACCTAAATTCTTTTACAGGCTGGGCAAGTGTTCTGCCACTGAGCTATATCCATGGCCCTTTTCATGTTTTATTTCGAACAGAGTTTTATTAAGTTGCCCAAGTTGACATTTGAATTTATTCTGTTGCCCATGCTTCAATCTTTTCTCTCTCTCTCCTCTCTGCCCCTCTCTCTCTCAAGATTTAGTGCCAGGTGGTGGTGGTGGCTAATCCCAGCACTTGGGAGGCAGAGGCAGGTGGATCTCTGTGAGTTCAAGACTAGCCTGCTTTACAGAGCAAGTTCCCAGGACAGCCAGGGCTCCACAGAAAAACCCTGTCTTGAAAAACAAAAATACGTATTTTTTCAATTGTGTATCTGTGTGTAGGGAATATATACATGTGGTACAGGTGCCCAAGGAGGTCAGAGGTGTCTAATCCCCCTGGAGCTGAAGTTATAGGCAGTTATGACCTACCTGATATGAATATTGGGAACTAAATTTGGGTTGTGACAAGTACTCTTAACCCTTGAACCATCTTTTTGACATTGAACTTCTCATCCTCTTGCTTTCATCTCCCAAATGCTGGGATTACAAGTGTGTCACAGGCTCAACACAGGCTTTCTTTTCTTTTTTTTTTCCGAGACAGGTTTCACTGTGGCTTTGAAGGCTGTCCTGGAACTTGCTCTTGTAGACCAGGCTGGTCTCGAAATCACAGAGATTCGCCTGCATCTGCCTCCCGAGTGCTGGGATTAAAGGCGTGCGCCACCACCGCCAGGCAAGGCTTTCTTTTCTTACATGCAAACTATTGCACTGAAGTCTTCATGAAGGAAGCAGTGTCCTTATTACACATTTAAATTTTAACTTAATTATCAATTCCCAAATTAATTGGAAAGTTGCATGCTACCTATGCATAGTGGCACACATCTGTAATCCCAGTTTTCAGGAGAGAAAGTCATGATGACTACAAATTCCAGGCCAGCATAGATTACAGATGAAGACTGTTAAAAAAAAAAAAAAAAAAAAGGTGCAAGGTGCAGGGATAGTCCTGCTGCAGAACGAGATACAGGACTGGGTCTGGAAATCCCCCACCCAAGGTCACATGTGAAAGCAGAAGTCCCCAGGCCTTTTATGGAAACTCCTAACCTGGAAGGTAAGGATGGGCTAGGAATAGGAAGTAGGTGGAAGAAGCCAGAGCCGGCCAAGAGGTCACAGAGATGGCCCTCCCCCATGCTCCTGAAGCACAGTGAAGATCCTGGAGAAGAATCCTCAGGGCATCCTGGGCAGCATCCCTCCCATTCTTTTCTAAGCAGAAAGGAAGGTAAAACTCCTATCTGACACATGGTCTCTTCCGAGGTCAGGTAGCTTGGAGGTACTGGATAGTACTACACTCTAAGGTGCCCTTCCTCCCCTCAGAACTCTGCTGTCCTTGGCTGTCACACCTGGCCAAGGCTTAGCATCAGCACCCAGGTGAACAGGGATGTGGAGAAGACTGCATGAGCCCTCCATTTTTAGGGACTCCCTGCAGAGGATCTGTATAGGACAGCAGGCCCCTTCTGCTTGAAGCTGCTTCCATCCAGGACCAAACTGAAACCGAGTAGCTTTCATGATACTGGAACTGTATCCACTGGGTTGGTGCTCCTAAAAACTGCAGGGGAGACCACAGCTCTGGGCTAACACACTAAGGGTTAGAGTGGGGCCCTACTCATCCCCTCAGTTCAACATTAGGGACCTAAAGCAACTCCCATAGGCTGCTGCCCCTTGAGTACCAGACTGGAAGTCATCAGAACTTCTCAAAGGCCAGGTGCCATCATGTAACAGCTCCCTGCCAGGTAGCTAGCTGGCTTCCAGGGCTGCACTGACACCTTCACCTGGAAACAGGGCCCCACCTCAGCTGTGACACTCCAAGCCAAGGCCATGAGCAGGTGCAGGATGGTGGTCAAGTCTGATAGTCTGCTAAGAGGTCCATATTCCAGAGCAGTGTGTCCTGCCACTTTGGGATACTCAGAGGCTGGCATCTGCTTGTCCACATTATCTTCTGAGTTCTGAAATCTCATCTTTGCCTAGAAACCAGCTCAGGTGCCACCATACTCCAATGACTATGAGGAGCCATGCTCCAGCCCCCCACCCCCAAAACACCACACAAAAGCAGGTTCCTGTGGAAAAAAAACTGAGTCATACAGGTAATCTAGAGCAGGGCTAGGATTATGATGAGGTGTCCTCTGCCTGACACTTCTGACCCGTCCATATTTAATACCAAGGCAGTGGCCCTGGGACTCAGACTCTGCTGCAGATCCCAAACTCAAGGCCCAACTTGATCCACATAGCTTTTCTCATGCACGAAATTCCCTCTTTCGTGTCTTGCCTTCAGGTCCTATTTTCACTTCTACCATGAGGAGAATGTTTATTGAAAGCTATAAACCAATTTAACTAGTGTCCACCTCAAGAGCATCTAGTGTAAGCTACCTAGCCACAGTGTTTTCTTTTTCATCTAAAGAATGACAATGTGTGCTGGGCAGTGGTGGCACATGCCTTTAATCCCAGCACTCGGGAGGCAGAGGCATGAGGATCTCTGTGAGTTCGAGGCCAGCCTGGCCTACAGAGCGAGTACCAGGACAGCCAAGGCTGTTACACGGAGAAAACCTGTCTGGAAAGAAAAAAGAAAAAAAAAGAAAAAAAGAAACCCTGTCTTGAAAAACAAAACAAAGAGAGAAAGAAAAAAAGAAAGAAAAACCATGAGAAAAAGGCAATTCTATTTTAAAGTAACAATTCTTGTGACAACAAATATCTGTACTTCCTCACAAGAGAGGATGGGATCCTGCAAGATTCTGAGGAGTTTGAGGAAGATCCTACCCCCATGGTCTACCAGACCTTACCAAAGAGATAACACCTGCAAAACTGTGGGGCTGACTACTTCCAGAGAAATGCGATCTAATTTTACGTTAATCTTCCAGTTTTCATGGAAATTGTAAGAGTTGCATTTATTTCCCACAATGTTGTAAGCCCATGGAGAGGCCTAACTCAGACCTTCACCTGAACCAAACACCCCAAACAGTTCTCAGAAGTAGAATGTTAGCAACTGAGAGAGATTTGATCAAGCAAATATAGCTTAGCCTATAACTGGTACAGAAGGGCTGCTGCCTCAGACACATGCTGGAAAGGACACATAGCCTATTAAGCACATTTTTAATAAGTCTGGGCCATGCTGTGGCAGGGGCTGAGCCAGAGCATACGAACACAGCAGAAGAAAGAAGGTTCTGGGACAGCACTCTTAGGGATCATGGTAGTTCCCAGACACAGGGTAGGTAGAGCATTTCAGAACCACCCTGGGACCCAAGTCAACCACAGGTCTCACTAGACCACAGGCCTCTCCCTCAAGATATAGGAAGGGTCAGACAGGAGACTGGTGGCCTGGCCCCAGTTGAGGGTTGAGGGGCATGCTCAGAATTCCTCATGCACATTGCGGGCATAGTCCATCAGCTTGCTGCCAGTGAAGAACTCGCTATACTTGAGAATCTCCTCAGGCTCCAGGTGGTGATTCTGGTTCTCGTCGGCAATGGCGATCATCTGTTTGGCTTCATTGAGGGCATTGTATTCATTCATGGGGTCCATGTAGTTCTGTGAGATCCAGACATAAGTCAGTGGCCTATACCTGACACCCTACCAACAGAGAGGCCCTGTGCCCACAGCCCCCACACCTACATACTAGCCCAGAGGTCACTTAGGATGTAGCTCTGTTATAGAACAATTAATTGTTTAGCATGTTTAGAGGTCCTGGGTTTCATCCTGAGCACCAAAACCAATTCCCAGATGCCTTCTACAAACTAGGGAGTTGCTTTCTAAAGGCCAATAGCCCATAGTCAGCAGGTTTCACAAGACTTTCCCATCTCTTCAGTCTGTGCACTAACGCCAATGCCCATTGTCTCAGGTCATCACGTAGGCAAGCCCCCTTTACTTTGGGACCTTACTGTAGGATTAGCCCACCGCCTCCAAACCCAGGGTCATTCCTGGAACACACCAACATTCATAAGCACCCCTACTCACCTCCAGCTCCTCCATGGTCACAATCCCATCATGGTTGGAATCAATCAGTTCCTCAAACTCTTTTCTCCTGTCTTTCACCCAATTGTCATCAATGTCTTGGCCTTGCTGGTTCTCAACAGTGCCCACTGGCAAGGAGATGAACTCAGGCAGAGACAGCTGCTTATCACCATCCTGGTCTACAGATAAAGGGTTGGAAGGAGGTAGTGTTCACCTTGGGCTTTACCTAAAACTCACTGAGTACCACTGAAGAACTTCCTTAGAAATCAAAACAGGACAAGCCCACCTATCCTGGGGCTTGGTACCCCTTGCAGCAGTGTAGTGTTCCCAGCCCATTGGTCACCCTCAGGCCTAGAACAGTGTCATAGTGGGAACACGCCTTACCCAAGTCCCGAACAATCTCCTTGACCATGAACTTGAGCATGCCCCGGCTGTGCTCAGGGTGAAGGAATGAAAGGAACTCCTCCTCAGTCAGCAGCAGGTCTGCAGGTGGATTGTCGGCCTGATACCAGCGACCTTTGAGGTTCTCAAGGACTTCCTGTGCTGCGAGAGGCACATTTGTGAATACCTAGGCATGCTGGACACTAATGCAAGCACCCACAATGTTTTACTTGAACTCAAGAGGGCTGTCATTTGCCAGGCTCAAGACTAAGGGTGCTAGCCCACCTAGAAGAGCCTGGTCCTTGGGAGGGGACAAACAGAACCCCTGAATACTGCCCAACCTGCCTTCCCAGCACACTCCAAGCTGTTTATTCCTCATCAGAAATGGAAATTTCATCAAGACTGAGGCTGACTCACCCTTATTGACGTCTATAGGAACAAAGGTGTCACTTTTGTTCCTTTCTCTGTTTTTCATGTGCATTATCATTCGGAGAGCATAGAATGCAGAAAACCCAATTTCTAGAAATGACTGAGGTAGTGAGCAAAACTTCCCATGGACTCTAGAAATGATTGCCTATGCATCCTCTCACGTCTCCCATGTTCCCAGGGCAGAAATGAATCCTTCCCCATCTGGGACTCAACACAGTCAGTGACTATGTCCTATTTGCCTAGGCTTCCAAGTCGCTCAGCTCCAGTAACCCTAAGTGTCCTTGCCTGCCTTCACTGACTTACCCGAATTGTCCTGAGTCTGACTCTGGGGCTACATCCTGACTGTAGCAGCCCCACCATGACCCATTAAGTACCTGATCACCACAGACCGGCCAAGTGGTCTTCATGCATAGTATTTCCTGTGTTAATCTAACCTTACTAACAGAACTCTTTCAAAAGAATAATGGAGAATGGGACACACTGGCAGAACCCTGTAATCCCAGCTGCTTGGGAGGCTGAAGTAGGCAGCTCATTTGAATGATTGTCACTCAAACAGCAAAAATAAAAATAAAAACAAAAAAGTGGCATTATACAAAGGAGATTATAAAGCAAAGCCACCCCTCCAGAATGCTACCAAGTGCTCAGATCACCTCAGGCAATCAGAGGCCCTTCGGTGGGCTGAGGTCAGGATGTGAATACACATGTTTTAATGATAAATGTCCCTCATAGTCTAGGGCACTTGAACACATGACCCTTGCAATGCTATTTTGGGAGGTTTAGGAGGTGAGGCCTTGTTGGAGGAAGTATATTACTTGGGGCAGGCTTCAAATGTTTAGTCTCACTCACTTCAAACTCATGCTTGAAGTTTAAGATACAAGCTTAACTTCCTGCTCCTGCCACCATTCTGAACACTCTGGAACCACAAGCCCAAATAAAGTCCTTTCTGTGTGTTGCCTCAGTCATGATACTTTATCATAGCAGAAAAGACTAATAGAGAAGTTGGCAACAGACAATAGGTGCTATGAAGAACCCCGACCTGTTGGTTTGGGGAAGAATGTGGGAGATCTAGGAATTTCAGACTCAAAAGGTGTGTGAATGCTATAAGCAGAGCTTAAAGGGCCATTATAGTAGGACCCTGGAAGACAGTAAGATAGGAGCAATACTGTCTGTGGAAGCCCAGATCAAAAGGTTTCAGAGGGAAACAATATTAGCAACTGGGCTAGAGGTCATTTTGATGATATTTTGGCAAATAATCTGGCTGCCTCTTGCCACTGTCCTGAGAATTTGCCCAAAGCTAAATTTAAAAGTAATGGAATAGAAGTTAAAGTGGTTGTCCAGTGATTAAGAGCACTGACTACTTCTCCAGAGGCCCCAGGTTCAATTCCCAGTAGCCATATGACAACTCACAACTGTCTGTAACTCTACTTCAAGGGATCTGATTTCCTCTTCTAGCTTCCTCAGGCACCAAGAATGCATGTAGTACATACACATATTTACAGGCAAAACACACATAATTTTAAAAAAGTAATGGACTAATTTCTTTGTTGGAGTTTTTTGTTTTGTTTTTTCGAGACAGGATTTCTTTGTTTAACAGCCCTGGCTGTCCCAGAACTCAATCTGTAGTCTAGACTGGCCTCAAACTCACAAGCTGCCTGCCTCTACCTCTTGATTGCTGGGATTAAAGGCATTTACCACCACCACCTGGCTTAGTGGAGATGATTTTTTTTTTTTTTTTCCAAGACAGGGTTTCTCTGTGTAGCTTTGGAGCCTATCCTGGCACTCGCTCTGGAGAACAGGCTGGCTTCGAACTCACAGCAATCCGACTGCCTCCGCCTCCCAGTGCTGGGATTAAAGGCGTGCGCCACCAATGCCTGGCTGCTTAGTGGAGATTTTAAGACAGTAAAATATTGAATCTGAGCCAGTCAGTGGTGGCACACACCTTTAGTCCCAGCACTCAGGAGGCAGAGGCAGGAGGATCTCTGTTAGTTCAAGATCAGCCTGGTCTACAAGAGCTAGTTCCAGGACAGCCTCCAAGTAACCAGAGTAACCCTGTCTTGGGAAAAAAAAAAAAAAAAAAGTATATATTGAATCTGTGGTATGGTTATTAATGCTATACAGGTCTACAATGAAAAAGAACAAGTAGGGAAGAAAGAAATACAAATGCACACTTTGGAGAAGAAGAAGAAAAAGAAAAAGAACTAGGAAACTTAATATCACAGCCAAGACATATGCTGGAAGAGCTTGTAATTTGTTAAAGAGATTAGTGTCATTAAAGAGAGGCCTAATCTGCACTGGGACAAAGGGAAGGGTGCCCTTCATGGATAGACTCCACTCAGCTAAGCTTCCAACTCATAATGGGAAAAGACCTAAGGAATTTTCTGCTCCTAGAAAGAAACAGAAAACAAAAACTACTACTACTGTGGTTCAAGGGGGAACCATTCCAAGCTGGCAGCTGAATTTCGTGGTGTCAACCATGTGGTACTGGCTTTAGAAACATAAGAGACCCAAGAGTGTGGGAGCCTACAAGTGACTCAGTTTCCATCTGGAGTCTATTCTAACTTATAAGATATTAGAGTTCTAGCTTGCTTGTTTCAGTCTCCTTGAGAGCCGTGAGAAAGTTCTGATTACGCCCATGAAAAGAGCATATTATCTAACTAACAAGCTTCTGATGCCAGCCAAAAGGCACATAGAGATAGGGAATGAAGCTGCTTGCTTCTAGCAGGACTCACGTGATAGTGAACATGGCTACTTCTCAATTCAAGGACAGTTCAGGGAGCTGGTTATTTGACTATGCTGATCTTTGTTCTGCTTTGCCTCTAGTCTGTATATAAACAGGGTCTAAATTAAACTCGGGGCTGTCCAGTGTGCTGAAAGGCATTGACTGGGCAGTCCTCCCGAATCTATCCTGTGTTTCTGTCTGTTTCTTTTATCTGCCTTTTCTCAAGCCTCACACCCCCTAATCAGGTAACCTAGCTGACTCGTTGGAATAGGCTCCAACACAAGAGTGAAGAGGTGATGGAATCTTCCTCTACAGTTTCATAACAACAACAAAAAAGGGGAGGAGGAGGAGGAGGAAGAGGAGGAGGAGGAGGAAGAGGAGGAAGAAGAAGAGGAGGAGGAGGAGGAAAGAAATAGAGGGGGAAAAAAGACAACTAAAATACTGGCCATCAACTAGTCATCCTGATGGCACTCAATGTGGGTGATCACAGTCAGTAAAGGTTTCCACAGTTTCTGTGCCGCTAGAAAGGTGTGAGGTGCTGCTTTGTATACTGTGGTCTCTACTGAGGTCAGCTGCACAGACAGACTGAGGTGGTAGAGCACAGGTATACAGTATGTGGACATCTGCCAAGAACTACATATATTGTGACCAGCCCATCATGACACACTGGGAGTAACAAGTCCTTACCCTTCACAGAGCCAGATAAGGGCTGTGAATGAATCACCAGATATGGCCAGGGAATGAGGTGAAAGGGGAAGGAATCCAGGACTGGAGGCAGTTACAAGTAAGGTCTTCTAGTTATGATTTACAAACCAGCTATCCAGACTTCCCTTCCCAACAATTGTCCCTGAGGGATTCCTATTGCTCCCAGCTTTCTCTGAGTTCTGCTCCATGTCCCAAAGACCAGCAAGTCTGACATTACCTCCAAACCAGATTGTTCACATCTCCATCTAGAAGTGGTGTCACTCTTGAGGTTCCAGGGCACTGCTGAATGTTGTGGATATCATTGCCCAGTTCTGGTGACTAAAGGCCTTGACAAAGACTGCTCCTTCTACTAAAGATCTCTCTTACTGGATTCAGGTCCTCTCTGCCTCTACTTTAAAGCACCAGATCCCCAAATCCCCCCCTCTATGCTAGCCCACCCTATGTCAGCACAGCAACCCAGCATCTAGCACTCAGTGGTACCCAGAACTCACTCTCCTCATCCACTTTGAGTTCCTCATGGTTCCTGATGGCATCAGCAATTTCCCTCTCATTGTGGCCTTTGCTTGCTAAAAACTTCACTTTATATTCATCCCAGGACACATAGCCTATGGTCACAAAAAAAAGACAGTTATTTTAGGACATCTGTTAGAAATCCTTGGGCCACAGGTAGCCACAGGGCAGAGGATATAAACTCCTCTGGGCCAACTGCCCAGTACTAGGAGTCAGCTGAGGATATGCACAGCTCCAGATATCTTGCCAGGGTGGCATTCAGAGGCAGAGCAACCAGTACCCAGCCCACAGCTTTTGTCAGTACCCTGTATCCATTTCCTCACCAGTAGAGTCATCTGGAACTTTCATCTCTCAGGGACAAGAGAAATACTGGCTGGCAGCACATAGTGTGAGAACACCAGGGAGGCATCCCAAACTTTTAAGAGCTACTGGGGTAGTCTCAGTATGTATTTCAGGCTGGCTCTCAACTCTTAGATTCTTGTTTCAGACTCCTGAACACTGAGATTGTAAACTAGGATCTAGCATTACTTTTCAGTTAAAATACTTGGGTCGCAGCTAGGGAGATGACTTGGGGAGTAAAGCATTTCCTGTGCAAGCATGAAGACCAGAATTTGAATCCCTACCATCTGTGTAAAAACTGGGTAGAGGCCCATCTATACTCCCAGGACTGGGAGGCTGAGACAGGGAATCCCTAGCATAAGCTGACTCTGGACTCACAACATTCAATGCGAATTTCAGCCTCCACAGACGCATATGCACACTGTGTCCACCCACACACATGAATACACAAACACACAGAATTTTACAAAAACCACTTAGGTCAGTGTGGTACCTGCTGTGTCTTTTAGTTCGAACAAGCATACAGCTACTGTCAGAAACTAACTCATGCCTTCAGCATCCCTACTTCTACTGTATCCTCTTCTACCTTTCTGTCCCTTAGCCTGGGGACATCTATCAGGTCCACCTGCCTTACTCCACCTACTTCACGCAGCTTTACAACTTGGGCCCACTGTACCGTCACCATCAGGGTCCACAGCCCCAAAGTGTAGTTTGTTTTCCTTGACAGCCTCCTGGAAGTGTTCTGCTGTTTTCTCCATAATCCAGTGTTGCATCTCCTTAGCGCTGATCCTCCGGTCAGTGTTCACATCTACCCTAGAAGCAGGTAAATGGCAAGCATCAGACCAGGCTCTAGGATCTTCAACAGAAAGGCAAATGTTGCTGGTTCTAGGAATTACACAGGTAGCTATGAACCTGCCACAAAGAAAAAGTCATTCCATTTGGAAGTGTTGTAGAAAACCCAGAGGCTAGGAGTTCATTAGGGGCCACCAGAGAGGACAAGGGGCTGTCAGAAAGATTGCAGGGGAGCAATTAAGTCAGGAGCTGCTACTTGAGGACAGAACAGATCATCACCAGGAACAAACTCTCTCCCACATGAGATTACAATGGATAGAATAATAACCCTTCATTTAATTACTTGTTAATAATTAATTATTAATTCATTAACCATTTATTTATTTTGGTTTTTCAAGACAGGGTTTTTCTGTGTAGCCCTGGCTGACCTGGAACTCTCTGTGTAGACCAGGCTGGCCTCAGACTCACAGAGATCCACCTATCCCTGCTTCCCAAGTGCTGGGATTAAAAGTACCACCATATCCAGTCTATAACCCTTCTAATCATAGCACTGTCTATATACTTTAAATAAACTACACAAACACCTTCACATGCAACAAAGATGCCTGGAAACCTGACATTCTGTCCAAGGACAGAACCAAGATCTTAGTGATAGAGACCTTAGGACTTGGGGATAGATTACAGGATCCCTAAATGCACTTACTAGAGGGAATGTCATGAAGAGTCTATGTCAGGGACAGTAAAATGACTCTGTGGGAAGAGGCACTTGCTATAAGCTTGACAATCTGAGGGTTTGTTTGTTTCTATTTTTCGAGACAGGGTTTCTCTGTGTAACAGCCCTGGCTGTCCTGGACTCACACTGTAGACCTGGCTGGCCTCAAATTTACAGAGCTCTGCCTGCCTCTGCCTCCTGAGTGCTGGGATTAAAGGTGCTTGCTACCACTGCCAGCCTGAGAGGCTGAGTTTTATGCCAGGAACCCACACATAGAATGAGAGAACCAACTCATACAAGCTGTCCTCTATTTCCATATAAAACACACACACACACACACACACACACACACACACACACACACACACACAAATAAATAAATAAGGGCAGTCCTTATTAGCTGAGCTACTATGAAGTTTAGTTCAGTCTGTCCACAGAACCCTAACTCAGAAAGATGCAACTTTCTGGTTTTCTCTTCTTCTGTCTCTTTCTTTTGGATGCTTAGAATCTAAGTATGGTTTTTCTCATCCTTTGGGCTTCCTTATTCTCTCTCTAAAGCCCCTTACCTCCCTACTATGTGGCTGTCTGCTGCTATGTGGTGGACCTCCATGCCAGTAACTCAAACGGCATGGCTTTTTGCCTTCTCTCTTGCATGTTTCTCTTTAGTCAATTGCTGAGATTTACAGCTTGCCTTCCTGGGTTACTTTTCTTTTAAACTCTAGTGAAATTGTCCTCAAGCTTCAAAAAAATAAGTAAATGCATAGCTTAGTAAGAAAAGGAAGGGGAAAAGGCAGACATGGTTGCAGAAACCTTTATCCTAGCACTGAGTAAACAGAGATAGAGCTAGATGGGATGGCACATATCCCAGGATTTGGGAGGCAGAGGTCAGCCTGGTCTACATAGTGAATTCCAGGATAGTCAGAGCTATGTACTAGAGAGATCCTGTCTCAAACACACACACACACACACACACACACACACAAAAGCAGCAAGCAAGCAGAAGCAGGTAGCTCACTTGTGAGTCCAAGGCCAGCCAAGGCCAAACAGTGAGATCTTATCTCAGAAAAAGAAAGGGAGGGAGGGGAGGAAAAAGGGAGGGAGGGAGGGAGGGAGGGAGGGAAGGAAGGAGGAAGAGGGGAGGGAGACAGAACAAGGGAGCCTGTGTCCCCAGCCCCTCATTAGCTCTTGACCTATTGGTTTGTCAGACCTTTTCCTAGACAGCCCTGGGCCAAACCTACTCTACCTGGAATTATAACCTGCTGAGACCCCTCCACTTTCCACTTGGCCTGACTTTATGCTCTTCAACTGATAAAGCCTATAGCTGGAATAGTCATGCACAAAATCCTTAAGAGACGGGGCAGGGACAGAAGTCTATCCTGAAGTCTTCCTGGCGATAAGGACCTAGACATTAGCTTTGGCCCTACAAGTCCTATCAAAGTGCAAGGTGCTAGATAGAGTGGTGGTTCTCAACCTTCCTAATGCTTCAACCCTTTAATACAGTTCCTCATGTTGTGATGAACACCAACCCTAAAATTATTTTTGCTGCTGCTTCATAACTGTAATTTTGTTACTGTTATGAATCATAATATCAATATCTGTATTTTCTAATGGTCTTAGGCTACTACTGGGAAAGGGTCATTAGATCCCTAAAGGCATTTGGTGTCATATGTTGAGAACCACTGTGCTAGAGCAACAGCTTATGGCAATTGGATTATCATCTCAAATGCTGTATTACTTGACGTGCATTTTTAGGGGACACATAAGACACCTACTTGGAAAAGATGACCATCAGCTTCCTCCGGCTTCTCCTTGGCTCTGAGTCCTCATCAAACCCATCCATATCCTTCCCCAGGAAAACCTCCTGGTGGAAGTCCTTGTTCAGGTGTCCATCCATCTCTAGTTTCACCCCGTTCAAGTGGTCTGGGGGTAGGATCTCATTTTCCTCCTTGTTGGCTGCTCTTTCCCGAGTGGATGAGTGGTTGGCAGGTCTAGCAGATGCATCCATCAGGAGGACAAGGCCCAAGAGCCAGAGGCCATGAGCAGCCAGACCATAGAGGGAACTCTGCCTGGACGGCATTGCCACCAGCCAAACCATGGGACTCCTGCAAGGTGTGAACCAGAAGTAGCAGTAAGGAAGAGAGGGGAATCACAGATCAAACTAGAGCCTAGAATACTACAAGGGTTCTGAGTTACCAGCACTGTCAAGAAAGCTGAAGGCTGACAGCAGGCTCAACCTGACAGTCTACAAAGACAGACTAGGCCAGTTGGTGATGGCACATCCCAGCACTTGGTAAATCTCCGAGGCTGGCCTGTTTTACAGATCAAGTTTCAGGACAGCCAAGGCTACACAGAGAAATATTGTTTGGGGGACAGGAGGGGCATATTTATTTTATAACATGATTTAATAATCAGGACCAACCACATATTCAAGCAGAGTATGATGCCATTCACCTTTAATACCAGCACATAGGAGGTAGGCATAGGTGGATCTCTATGAATTCAAGGCCAGTCTGGTCTAGAGTGTAAGCTCTGAGCCAGTCATGGATAAACAGTAAGATCCTATCTAAAAAAACAAACAAAACCCACACATATGGAACTGGGACTGTTGCTCAGTGGTAAGACCTGGGGATCGATCCCCAGTACCACAGAAAAAAAGATGAAGAGGGAAAAGGAAAAAGGAAAGACAACAAATGGTACTTTAACTTTTTAAAGAAACTGGAGGAATATAGTAGAAATGTTCTTTGCCCTGCCAACCAGCTCCTAAGTTAAGACATAGGGACTTATTATTAATCATGAAAGCTCATCCTTAGCTTAGGCTTGTTCCACTAGCTCTTTTAACTTAATTTAACTTGTTTCTATTAATCTATGTTTTGCCTTGGGGCTTTTTACCTTTCCTTCATTCTGTATGTTCTTTCTTGCTTCCTCTGTGTCTGTCTAGCTGGGTCCCTGGCACCTCCCTGCCATCTCTTTTTCTTTCTCCTCAATCCTAAATTCCTCCTCCTACTTAATCTTCCTCCCTCAATAGTGGCCATTCAGCTTTTTACTAGACCAATCAGGTGCCGTAGGCAGGCAAGGTAAAACAGCAACACACCTTTACATAATTAAACAAATGCAACACACATCTTTGCATAGTTAAACAAATATTCAAAGCTGTTCAAAGCTGTCACCACATCTAGGTGCTGATCTATCCAGTACCCCACCCCCACATACCAACAGTATATCCTGCCATCAATTCAACAGAGCCAGTATATCCTGCCATCAACCTGATTACTTTTACAGTGTTTAGCATAATATGACCCCAACCCTCCCTGATTACTTTTACAGTGTTTAGCATATGGCTGTGGTCACTCACTCTCCAGATCCCAACTTGAACACTGAGTTCTGAGACCTTAGTTAAGTCATCTGACCTTTGTGTGTCTGTTTCTCACTATCACTAATCGCCCCCTACTTTCTACCTCAGTGTTTTGTGTGTGTGTGGAGACCTATGTACACTGTGTGCTGAACAACTAAAAACTGTGGTTATCAGCAAACACTTGCACCAACTCAGCAGAGACTACACATATACATCTATACTTGTGTCTGCATCAACACGTCTTCATCCATGTTCACCAAGAAACACTAGGAAAGTTGAAATGCCCAGGAAGTCTTATTTGACCAGAACATGGAAAACACATTTACTCCTCCCACAGTCTATCTTCCTACCAATTTGCTGGCTTTCCAGGTGCATCCTGGTCTCAACCTATGTGCAGTAGCTGTCTCCCATTCTGTCCTGGAAAGGACGCTGTCTGACTTAGCTTCTTTATCCCAATATTGCCAAGCTATTAGCACCTAAAGACATTCAATCAATGCTGTCTCCAGAGCATTGGAAACAGACTAAATACTACACAGAAGCATAAAGCCATTGGAACAGTACTTAAGATGTTCTCTGGGAAGTACAGCCTCCTAAGAGCCAGTAGCTAAAGGAGTCTGTTGTTATCCAAGGCAAGGACCCCTGAGATGTGGCTTTATTCCTGATGTCTCTACTCTTCTGGCCATGGAAACAACAGAATCAAGGCAACCTCCTCCTGGTATTAATGTACTTTGCTCCTTGAAAGAACAAAGTTCTCAATTCTAACTATTTTGATAAACTATGTGGAATAGTTACTCATATATCTTATGTAAAAAGCAACCCTAAACAACCAGGAATCCATCAACTTACTTCCTTATATTGGTTCACAGGTTTTTTTTTTGTTGTTGTTGGTTTTTTTTTTTTTTCCTTGCCCATACCAGGCAACTACTCTGCCACCGAGCAACATTTCCCACTACTTAATTAGCTGCATGGCTAATTAAATTGGGCAGCTGCTCTCTTCCTCCCCACCTGACCTGAAATCCCTAAATCTAGATTTCAAGGAGCTTCGTTTTGTCATAGCCCCTAAACACATCAGTTTTCAACAAGTAATCAACAGGGAAGCTACTAACACCTGCCACGGAGGTGACAATGGTACCTCTTGACCTGCCACCAACCACACAGTCCAATGACATTATATTTATCGAAGTCACAGCTGTTCCATTTTATGATTAGTTGTTAATCTCTGCCTGGGCCTAATCTATAAGTTAAATTTTGCTGTAACTATGTACAGGAATAAACCTGAGGTTTCAGGCACCCACAGGGTGGTTGGGGCATTTCTTTTTTGTTTGCTTGCATTTATTTTTATTTTGAGACAGGGTCTCACTATGTAGCCCTGCTTGGCCAGGAACTTGCCAAGCAGATCAGGCTGGCCTTGAAAGTGTGGCAAATCTCCTGCATGCTGGTAGGCAAAAGGATCGAGTTCAAATTCAGACTCGGCTACCTAATAAATTCTGACCAATCAGGGGTACATGAGACCCTGTCTCAAAACTAACAATAACAATAGCAAAAGGAAAAATAAAGAAAAAAAAAGACCATCACCATCTAAAAAACAACATAGTCTAAAAGAGTCCAAAGGCTGTCAGGGGGCTGGTGTCTTAGCCCAGGGGTAGAGCATTTGCCCAGCATTTGTAAGGTCCTGGATTCGATCTCCTCCAGCAACACAAAAATAAGAATGTAAATAAAAGTAAATAAAAGCTCTGTCAATTTAGCAACTGCACTCAATAGTACCAAAGAGAACTACCACCAAAGCTGGACCAGGTATGAAGGTTTTACACAGGCCTTCCAATTTCCAACTCGTACTACAAAAACTCAGGGCGCACATTTTACCGAAGATGAAACCGAGTTTGAGATGCTGGACCACAAGTTGAGGTCACAACGCCAGCCGGTAACAGAGCCCCGAGCCTCAGTCCCCCGCGGCACTGTGAGTTCCAGAAGCAGCAGCCGGGCAAGAGGGCGACCGCGGGGTCAAGCGGGCTCAGACCCAAAGCGACCCAAACGATGGGCGAGTGGCCTTCCAAGTTCGCCCCTCACAAAGCGGCTTCAGGGATCCCCTCACTCACCCCCGGCTTTCTGATGCGCCGGGTCTGGATAGCGCAGCTGGGCGCCCGCGAAGTCGTACGCGAGCCCAGACTCAGGCCGCGGCCATCTTTCTTCCGGGAAGGGGAGAATAGGACAACCGGGAACCGTGAGAGCTGGCACAGCCTCAGGCGTGAATCTCGGCGCCGCCATCTTTTTCATGGGCGGAAGCAGCCTCTCAGAAACAACCAATTAAAATGGCGCGGGAGGTGACGTGTCGAGCCCGGCCTCGCCTTCAACACCGTCCTGGATGTCAGATCCTGGGAGTCCAAGCACCCAGTCAGCGGGTGCCTTGGGGCTCCTCCCACCACTACCAGGCCAAGCCCGCTAGTCGGGTCCCGGAGTAGCGCAGGCGCCTTCCAGCGTCCGCGCCTGCGTACTCGGCGACCTCCCGCCTGCACCATGAAGGTACTTCGGCGCGCTTGGCGGCGCCGAGTGGTGCTGACCCTAAGCGGCCTAGCGTTTTGCAGCACCACTCTGTTGTATTTGGCGCGCTGTGCTTCCGAGGGCGAGACGCCCGCAGCCGCTGGAGCCGCTCAACCCCGCGCTAAGGCCTTCCTGGCAGTGTTGGTGGCTAGTGCGCCCCGCGCGGTTGAGCGCCGCAGCGCGGTGCGCAGCACGTGGCTGGCACAAGGGAGGCGCGGCGGCCCTAAGGATGTGTGGGCGCGCTTCGCTGTGGGCACCAGTGGCCTGGGCTCAGAGGAGCGGCGTACGCTTGATCTCGAGCAAGCACAGCACGGGGACCTGCTGCTGCTGCCCTCCCTGCGCGATGCCTACGAGAACCTCACGGCCAAGGTCCTGGCCATGTTGACTTGGCTGGATGAGCACGTGGACTTCGAGTTCGTGCTCAAGGCCGACGACGACTCCTTTGCGCGCCTGGATGCTCTACTGTCGGAGCTACGCGCACGTGAGCCTGCACGCCGCCGTCGCCTCTATTGGGGCTTCTTTTCTGGGCGTGGACGAGTCAAGCCCGGAGGTCGCTGGCGAGAAGCTGCCTGGCAGCTCTGCGACTACTACTTACCCTATGCTCTGGGCGGTGGGTACATCCTCTCTTCGGACCTAGTGCATTACCTGCGCCTCAGTGGTGAATACCTGCGCGCGTGGCACAGTGAAGATGTATCGCTGGGTGCCTGGCTGGCACCAGTTGATGTGCAGCGGGAGCACGACCCACGCTTTGACACAGAGTACAAATCACGGGGCTGCAACAATCAGTACCTGGTAACACACAAACAGAGCCCGGAGGACATGCTGGAGAAGCAACAGATGCTGCTTCACGAGGGCCGATTGTGCAAGCAAGAGGTGCAATTGCGCCTCTCCTATGTCTATGATTGGTCAGCGCCACCCTCCCAGTGCTGCCAGCGCAAGGAGGGTATTCCCTGATGTCATTGCATGTGTTGTGGCCTCTTCGGACACAGGCCAAGCTGCCTGGACAATCTGGCCAATTGTCTGGGGTGAGCTGGTTTATCCAATTACTGTTTAGGCCATGGGAACTCAGTCCACTTACTGATGGCCAGAGGCAGCTAACAACATTCAGTTCATGCTCTGGAGAGTGTGCTCATTAGTGGTCTTGTGTAAGGCCTGCCCAGGGGCATCTGGTTATGGGTTTGTAGGTTGCATCTGCACCCCACACAACACCTGCAGCCACCTATCAGCCAACCGGGGTGTGAGGGCCTCCTCACTTGAGTTTATAGTACCGAATTCTGCCCCTACTTGCACTGTGCAGCTCACTGCCCATCTTGAATGCTCTGCACAGCCCTGTCTGCAGACTGACCTGCAGACTGCTCAATTAATTTGTATGTTGTCATCAAAATGTTATTTGCCAAAATTGCCATTGTATTGTTTGGACAAAGTTCCATTCTGTTAAATCTCCTGTTTTTATCCTTTGTTGTGTACAAGTCTGAGATTTGACTTGATTTTCAAGTCAGCTAGCTTAGATAGTATTTTTATCTCTGTAGATAGTTTGGTAAATATGATTAAGTTTGCTTGGAACCTATTTATAAATATTGTAAACTTGTGTAGATAAGAATTTTAAGTTGAAAGCTGTGCTGTGGTGGTACACACCTTTAATCCCAGCATTTGGGAGGCAGAGGCAGGCAGATCTCTCAAGTTCGAGGCCAGAATATTCTTCAGAGTTCTAGGGTACCCAGGGCTACTACACAGGAAAGCCCCATCTCAAACCTTACCACCCATCCCCCCAAAAAATTTTAAGTTAAGAGTGTGCAAGTCTTAATTTTTTTAACTATTTAAGAAAAATACTTTAGTGTCAGAACTTGTATCTGTGGATTAATCTATCAACAGCCTGAGTGGCCAACCCCACTGTTGAGTGTGTTTAAAACATAGAAGATGGTTTGAACTATCCATTTCTCTTTGTTTCTGAACAGACTACTTTTAAGGCTTTTCAGAGAACACGAGCCTATGGACTGTAAGGCACTCAGCAACTAGGATGCCCACACAAGTTTGTCTTTCATATATGCTTGATTTTTCACACAAACATTTCTAACATCATGTCAATATACAAGTTAAACAGATGTCTCAGCTGGGTGGTGGTAGCACACGCCTTTAATCCCAGCACTTGGAAGGCAGAAGCAGGTGGATCTCTGTGAGTTCAAGGCCAATCTGGCCTAATGGAGTTCTAGGACAGACAGACAGGGTTACACAGAGGGACCCCGTCTCAAAAGACCAGGAAAAAACCCAAAAGCAATCTAGATGTCTCACCAAGCTAGGAACAGTTGTTTGAACAGAAACAAAGTGTGCAGGCTTAACCACTGCCCGATGTGAAGTCCTTTAGTTGGTAGGCTGGGAGGATGACACTGGTAGAAATCTAGGAGGTCCTTAAGAGCATAGGCCAATGGCTGGCACTAATAGGCAGTTCTGAGTGAGTCAAACAAGTTCAGCAGTCACTGAGGCCAGGGCTGCAAAGAGTGCCCAGTCCTCTTGGTATCAACACAGGCCATAGAAGTCTTGTCACAGGACCTTGACAGTGTGATTCTAGAGACCATTTCCAAAGTTCTAATCTGTGTATCAATTCATTGGGTAGCCACTTTGGACTAATGGTTCATTGGCGTATCATTGACTTGGGGTTAGCTCATTAGCATATCAAGGCCTGTCCTGGATTGGGTTCATATATGGGCTGCCAGGGGGCTTGCCTCTGAGGCCTGGCTCTTACCAAAGCTGTCTTGTGACAAACTCAAGCATCATTATTTCAAGTCACACAAAATGGCTTTTGAGTTACACAACATGGTTTTTAAGCTGTAGTCCATACAAGCGTCCACAAAGGCCTTTAGATTCTCTGTTTCTCACTCAGCAAAGTTCCAGGAATCCAGACCCTTGAAGCATTGAGACTTCCCAGATGCTGCCTTAAGGAAATAGTGTTTGCTACCTAGCACCCCAACCAACCAAACAGCTAATATTGCATACCCCCTTTTAGTGTAAAAAAATTAATGGTATACTTAAAAAAATATAAGGTGGTTCCAGAATAAATGGACAATATGAGCTGGACTTGACCACTCGTTTTGGATGATGATGTTGCAATCTCCACTATTTTAATGGGATCCATGTTTGTGGTCTTTTGGTTTTGGGTTTGGGTTTTTTTGAGATAGGGTTTAGATTTATAGCCTAGGCTGGACTTGAACTCAATCCTGCCTAATCTGAGTACTGGGACTACAGGCATAAACCACCAAGCCCAGTTTACATCAAATTGTTTTGTTTGTTTTGCATCCTCGGTATGTTCCAGCCTGGCCTCTGCTGCCCCACTTGGGGTACTGTGGATAGGGAGAAACATGCCCTGACTCCCTGTCATCAACTTGATTTTAAATTCTCAGGCTGTGAACTTGAGCATGTTTGAATTCTTCCTTTTCCTTTCTTTTGTTCATCTTCCCCCACCACACACACACACACACACACACACACACACACACACACACACCTTTTTTAAAAACCATGCCCCATTGGTTTATTTTCTTTAAAGATAGAATATTCAGTACTGGATTGTAAAGCCCTGTATCAGAAAGAAGGGTGCTCTTGTCGGTGATTGTGATTCTCCTGTCTTTATAGTGTGAGGTGATAAAGTTTTGAGGCCTATAAGGGTCAGATTAGGAGGCCTAATACACTTTCTACTGGATTCCTGAAGATAGGATGAGCTGGCCTGTATGTACGTTGTTTTAGATAGTCTGTGAGATCCAGTGGGGCTTAATGGGACCATGCCCTCTGTGGTAGTTTGAATAAAATGGCCTCCATAGGCCCATAGGGAGTGTCACTATTAGGAGTAGGTGTGGCTTTGTTGGAGGAGGTGTGGCCTTGTTGGAGTGGGTGTGGCTTTGTTGGAGGAGGTGTGTCACTGGGGGCAGGCTTTGAGGTCTCAGAAGCTCAAGCTAGCTCACTTCCTGCTGCCTGGGGATCAAGATGTAGAACTCTCAGCTACCTCTCCAGCACCATGTCTACCTGCATGCCACAATGCCACCCACCATGATGATAATGGACTAAACCTTTGAAACTGTAAGCCAGACCCAATTAAATGTTTTCCTTTATAAGTTGTTGTGGTCATGATGCCTCTTCACAGCAGTAAAACCCCTAAGACACTCTCACAGGGCTGGCAGCTTTCTAGAGATGTTGATAGCAGGACCAAGACTCACACCAACCATGTTCTTCTGGAATGAAACCATGTTTCATCTGAACATTGGAATTGGAATGGTTAGGTCTCTGCCCTTCAGATGAAGAAATAAGCTTGAAGAGACTGATCAACATGGAGGGCCATGTGATCATAGGCAGCCCGGACTCAAGCTAAAGGCTCCAGATGACTGCACAGAAACCATGGCACAGGTGCCAAAATAGACATACACAATTTTATAGACTGAATGCAATGAGTTCCTGTCTCCTCCCACCTTATATTCCTCTCTTCACCCAGCCATATCACTTTTGTCTCCACCTCCCTAGTGCTGGGATTAAAAGCATGTGACTCCCAAGTACTGATATTAAAAGGTGTGAGCCACCACCACCTGGCTCTGTTTCTCTTTTAGACTGGATCAATGCTTGCCATATAATCATGAGAACCAGAGTTTGACCTGTACCCCTGGCACCCATGTAAAAGGCCAGGTGTGGTGGTGTATGCTTATAATCCTAATATGAGGGGAGGCAGAAATAGGAATGTCCCTGAGACTTACTGGCCAGCCAGGCTATCAGTGATCCCCAGGTCCCAGTATAAGACCCTGTCTCAAAAACAAAACAAGGTAGACAGCTCCTGAGAAATAAAGTTGACCTCTGTGTAGCCTCCATACATATGGGCACACACACAACAACAATAATAAAACCCCATACTAATTTTTTTGCTAACTCTTCAGGGTGTTGTGTGATACTATTCCTGGGGAGACAGACAGCTACTTGTTACAGTCCATTGGGTACCACAAGAAAACATTAGAGAGATGAGCTTGTGAAACAGCAAAGCCTTTAGTAAATCTCCACACAAGTATGGTCGCTTATAGATCTGGCTGTAGAACAAGGACTTGGGAACCTTGTTTCTCCTGGCAGCCCTGAGCAGGATCAGAAGCAGGGTTCCTAAACCTAAAAACCATAAACACATGTTGCCAAGTCACAGTTACAATTTTCCACCTATCAGGATTTAAAGATTAGGGATTTTCCCTGTGTGTTCCATTGTTGCCAACTGACACAGAATGTAAGCTTTTTAGTCCAACCAGATTCCTTTGTTTTTCTGTTGTCAGGAATAGCTACAATGTTTTAGAGAACTAAACAAACATAACAGACTACTTCTATTGTCTAAGGAGTTGGCCAGTTATTGGAAACTTCCCAGCTCCCCTACAAAACATAGAGGCAGTTCAACAAGTTTGAGTGTCTCTTCCAAGCAAAGCTAAGTTGGTCTAAGGGTCACACTCCACCACCACCAGCTCAGTTGGTCTCTGCCTCTTTATCTCTTTTAGGTGGCTCAGCCTGTCTGAGAATGTTTTTCAACAGTCCTTACACCTTACATGTGCTTGGGAAATGTAAGAGTTACAATTCTAAGGGGAAAGGCTCCCCAGTGGAAGTGTTACAGCTCTGCTCAGGCATGGGGAAGGTTTCCCCAATGTAAGTGTTAGACAGCTTTGCTGGGAAAGGTATCCTGGCAATCAGGAGCCAAGAAACACCACAAAGTCATACTGCACAACGAACCTTACACAAGAGATTTATTGGGAGGGGAAAACCCAGGAGGGTGGCTGTGGTGATATTTTGTTTGTGCTGTAACAAAGTTTGCCTGAAGATCATAGTGCAGAACTAGCCAGCCACACTAGTTAGCTAGAGGCCAGGCAGTGGTGGAACACATCTTTAATCCCAGCACTCGGGGGACAGAGGCAGATATATCTCTGTGAGTTCAAGGCCACCCTGGGGCTACACAAGATTGATCCAGTCTAAAAGAGAAACAGAGCCAGGTTGTGGTGGCTCACACCTTTAATATCAGTACTTGGGAGTCACATGCTTTTAATCCCAGCACTAGGGAGGTGGAGACAAAAGTGATATGGCTGGGGGGAGAGAGGAATATAAGGGGGGAGGAGACAGGAACTCATTGCATTCAGTCTGAGGATTCATAGGGACAGGATTGCCCCTTTGGTCTGATGATTCAGGAAGGGAAGAACTAGTGGCTGGCTGCTCCATTTCACTGATCTTTTTTCCCCTTATGTCTGACTCTAGGTTTTTATTATTAAGGCCAATTAGAATTTGAAGATACAGGTGGCTGCCTCCACTTGCGTAAGAAGCAACAAGGAATTAACTGAGCAACCTTTATATAGGGTTTCATGGGGAGCGGGGTGTTGGAGCTTTCCAGGGTGGCCTGAGATTGGTGAGATTTTTATGGTCTGGTCTTGGGGAAAGCTTAGAGATTGGTGGGATTCTGTGGTCTGATGTTGAGGCAAACTGAGGGATTGGGGGGATTCTGTTTCTTGGCCCTGGTCTTGGGCTTGGGGTCAAGTCAGGGTCAGGGTATTCTTTCCTTGGCCCTGCTCTCAAGGTCAAGTCAGGGGCTAGGTGTAGACCTTGGCCCTGGTCTTGGGGTTGTAGTTGGGACCACTGGCTCCCCAGTAATTTTCCTTGGCCCTGGTCTTGGGGTTGTAGTTGGGACCACTGGCTCCCCAGTAACGACATGGAGACTTATTACTAATTATAAAAGCTCAACCATAACTTAGGCTTGTTACTAACTAGCTCTTACAGCTTAAAGTAACCCATTTCTACTAATCTACGTAGTGCCACATGGCTCATAGATTTACATGTCCTCCAACACGTCTTGCTCCCTCTGCATCTCCTGGTGACTCCACCCTTCTTTTCAGAGTTCCCTCTGTCTGGCTCTACTGCTATACCTCCTGCCTAGCTAATGGCCATTTATCAGAAGGCACCTTGGCAAAGACACATCTTCACAGTGTACAAAAAGATTATTCTACAGCATTTCCCCCTTTTTGTCTAAATAAAAAGGAAAGGATTTAACTTTAACAAAGTAAAACTATATACAATAAGAACAATTATCAGGTAAGAAGTACATTCACAATGTTCAGTCCATTTGTATTTGGCAATTCCAGAGAAAATACTCCATTATTTATCCTATCTTGGTGAGTCCAAAGTTCTGTATCTAATTTACCTTCTATCACAATTAAGGAAAACTATGACTATCTAGTCTTCAATTTCATCAAAGACCCCAGAAGGATATAATATTACCTTAGTAAACAGGAAGTGCATTGCAAACAACTTCCAAAACTATAAAAAATGATAGAAACAGCTGACTGCCCGGAGAGTCATCTATATTGTATGGGATGTCCTTCTGTATTCTACAAATATGTATTTCTTTTATTGGTTAATAAATAAAGCTGATTTGACCAATGGCCAGACAGAATATAGCTAGGCAGTAAATCCGAACAAAGATAGAAGGAAGGTAGAGTCAGGAAGACACCATGTAGCTGCTGAAGGAGTAACATGCTGGAGAATTACTGGTAAATCAATAGCCTTGGGGCAATACACAGATTAATAGAAATCGGTTAATTTGTAAGAGACAACTAGCCAGTAATATGTCTAAGCCATTGGCAAACAATTATATATATTAGCCTAAGAGTGTTGTTTCATAAGCAGCTGCGGGGACCTTGCTGGAGAGAATTTGGTCCAGTAGGACCAAGTGAGACAGAGAAAAACATACAGCTACATCTAAGATTCCTTTGCAATGTTGGGGCATCCATCTTCGGCCTATAGGCCTAGAATACCAGACTTTTCTGTGAAGCAGGTATTTCTGAAGGTCTGTCCTACCCTGTCTCGGCAAAGTTCAGCAATCTCTTTTGTGTCCTGCTTTCCAGTTTGGACAGCATACTGTCAACAGTCCAGGCAAGGGCAGTTTCTTCCCCCAAATGACTAGCTTTTGCCACAAAGAAAGCAAACTCCATATGGATGTTCTTTGATCCCTATCAACCTTTTTGTGAAGTAAATTGGTGCTGCCTGGAGCAGATGTGTCTATCACAAAAAGTCTTATATTATTAAAACATTT